CCAGCCTGTGGCTCATAGGCTGCAGCTGGCTTGCAGATACATTCTATTTGGCCTGCATGGTAGTAATTTTGATTTGGTTGCCAATAGTTAAAATGTGGATGATATATATGCAAGATACCAAGGTTCTCTGAGAAAATAGGTTTGTTCACGTTATTACTTGGCACCAAACGGGAAGTCCTGCGTCCCAGCTGCCCCTCAGGCAGAGCTTGAGCTCCAGATTTGCCACCCACTGTAGACCGTCCTTCCCGAGCCCTGGTTTGCTCATTCCCACTCCTGACTGGCTCCTACACGTGTGTATGACCCATGGACTCTACTGCCACCTTCATGCTACCGTCCATACAGCCGCTTTCCTTTTCCAAGTGCTCTCGGTTAACATGCTTGGTCCTCAGTTCCTACTTCACTCCTTTGGTTGCTGTGAGACTGTCTGGACTGTTAACACCATCTGGGCAACACGTACCTGGGGGGGCCACAAAATACTCCTCCACGACGCGGCGGGAGTTTTGTAGTAGTTCTTCAGCACAGTTGCCTTCGATCACACGGTCCGATCTCAGGTACAGACATCTACAAAAGCAGAAGCTCACAATTACCTTCTCAGAGAACGGGGCTTCTAGGGGGTGGTGGAGCGGGTCCAGGATGGAGAACCAGGGAGCAGCACATTCTTGAGTTTGGTCACTGCTTGGAGGCACAGGCGTGTGGGCAGCAGTAGCCCAAATAACTGTCCTCGGTTTCCCAGCCACTCTGAGGTAAGTGGGAATTATTTCTGAGGATCGAGATAGGTAACAAATATTTTTAGATGATTACTACAGGCAAGTTATTTTTTGGTAAAGATGGATAAAACGCCATTTAAAATCCAGTGTGTTAAATCTAACAAGCAAAACTCGCCAAGGGAATAGGCTCCTTCCCCAGCCTGGACAACAGGCACGTACTAGAACAAGTGATGCTCTTGTTCAGGGGTGAGTGAGAGGGGGCTGGGGTGGGATGGGAAGTGAACTCCGTGGCAGTGCAGCAACACGCTCCCAGGCAAGACTCAGCACACTGAAGGACGGGCAAGGCGTTCAACAGGCTCAGCATGGCCTGCTTGAGACAGAAGAGGAAGCCGGAAACCAAAGCAGAAGGAGGAAACTTGCTCAAGATGGACTTGCTTAAAGATAATGGCACCTATGTAACCAAACTAGGACCATTCTGGTCCCCCTAAGATGTGTACTTTGTTTCTGGTAATTTGCCAGAGGGCCTCTGTGTTTGCTGGATAGAGGAAAAAGTACCATCCATAAGGGATGGTCACGTTACAATCCCTTTCTCCCGCTTTCTGGAATTTTGAGAATACAAGTACACACATCTGGCATGTTTATCTTCCTCTCCACCCCCCCCAAAGAATTAATTATTATTTTTAGGAGCCAGCAGGCAGTGTGGTTAAGAGCACTGGACTCCCACATGGCCGATCATAGTTCAATTCCCAGACCTGGCGGCTTGCTTTCTCTTTCTCTGGTCAAATTTAAATAAAATAAATAAATAAATGTAAATAGAATAATTCTTTTTTTTTAAGTAATTATTTTTAAATTTGCTATAGGGATCAGCAGGTGGCATGGTGGCTAAGGCGTTGGACATGCCCACATGGCTACACCACAGTGTGAGTCCTGGACTGGTGGCTTGCTTTCTCACTTTTCCTCTCTCTGGTCAAATTTAAAAATAAATGAATAAGTAAAGTTAAAATAATTTTTTTTGGGGGGAGAGGTTTTTGCTATAGGGCACATGTGCTTGCCAGAAAGACAGAGACAGAGTGAGAAATCACCCCCTAGAGGGGATGGCCACACCACAGTCATTTATCCATTCTCCTCTTGGGATCTTGGGCACGCATGCACATGTGCCTAGTGTGAACTTAAGCCACTGGGTCCAGGACTTAAACCACGGTCAACTACATGGGAGTCCAGCGATGTAGCCATTACACCAACTGCTGGTCCCATATTACTTTTCTTTTAATTTGCTATAGGGCACGTGCACTTACCAGAGCGAGAAAGGCAAAGAGAGAAGGCAAGCCTCTGGATCTGCGACTGGAACCACAGTTGGCCATGTGGGAATCCAGCAACTCAACCACACCACCTGCTGGCCCCTCTGGTTTGTTTTTATTTTTTGGAGATATTTTTCGCTATAGGGCACCAGACAGACAGAGACATAGAGACAGAAAGCGAGAAATCACCCCCCAGGGGGGAATGGTCATGCCACAATCCCTTCTCCTCCATTCTCCTCTCGGTATCTTGGGCACGCATGCACACGCACCCGGTGTGAGTTTTAAGCCACCGGGTCCGGGACATGAGCCGCGGTCAACTACGTGGGAGTCCAGCGACAAAGTCATTATGCTAACTGCTGGTTCCCTCTGGTGTGTTTTTCAAACCATCAGGTCTGGTGCAGTCAGCCATGTGGGGTCCAGTCCTAACTGCCATGCCAGTGGGTATTTTTTTTTTTTTTTAAGTATGGTCCACAAGGGATGGTCATGTTGCAATCCCTTTCTCTCTTCATTCTTTTTTATTAAAAACAAAACAGCCTAGGACCAGTAGATGTAATAACTATGTTGCCGGACTCCCATGTAGTCAAACACAGTTTGAGTCTCGTATGCAACAGCTTAAACTCACGTGGGGCACATGTATGAGTGCCCAAAATCCCAAGAGGAGAATGGAGGAGAAGCGATTGTGACAAAGCCTTCCCCTGGGGGATGATTTTTCACTTTCTCTGGTACACGTCCTATAGCAATAATCTCAAAGTAAATAAATAAATAAAAGCCATGCTAGTGGATTAAGAGGTGCCTGTCCTTGGGCTGGCCCACTGACCTGGTGGTTAAGTGAGTAGGATCCCATATGGCCAAGCACATGGTGTGAGTCCTGGCCCCAGCAGCTTGAGAAATGCCAGGTGAATGAGCATGTGTGCTCCAAATCCCAAAAGGATGGAGAAATGGAGGAGGAGTTGCAGTGTGACTGTGTCCTATTAGGGGGTACTTTTTGCCTCTCCCCTTTACTGGTGAGATGTGCCCTCTGGCAAAGTGCCTGCTTTGGGGGGCCCACCAGGTGGTGTGGTGGTGAAGGTGCTGGATTCCCACATGGCTGACCATAGTTTGAGTCCTGGACCTGGAGGCCTGCTTTCTCACTTTCCTTCTCTATCTTCCTCTATCTCTGGTTGAATTAACAATAATATATAAAATTAAATCATTTAAAAAACATTTCTTGGGGCCAGCAGGTAGTGCAATGGTTAAAGACGCCGGAGTCCCACGTGGCTGACTACAGTTTGAGTCCTGGACCTGGTGGTTTGCTTTCTCACTTTCCCCTTCTCTCTCTGGTCAAATTTAAAAAAAAAAAAAAAAAAAGAAAGAAAGAAATAGATAAATAATCCTTTAAAAAATATATTTCTTTAATTATTTGTTTAATTCCATTTGTTGTTATTATTACTATTTTTAATTTGACCAGAGAGAGAGAGAAAGAGAAAGGGAAAGTAAGAAAGCAAGTCAATAGGTCCAAGAGTAGAACTGCAGTAAGCCATGTGGGAATCCAGCGCCTTTAACCACCACGTCACCTACCAGCCCCCAAATTAAATAATTCTCTTTAAAATAAACTACTGTTTAGGGACCAGCAGTTGGCATAATGACTCTGTCGCTGGACTCCCATGTAGTCGACCGCGGTTCGAGTCTCGGACCTGGTGGCTTAAACTCACACTGGGCATGTATGCATGTGTGCCCAAGATCCCAAGTGCACGCGCCCTGTAGCTTAAACCTCTCAAAAGAAGAAAAAAAGATTGTTTTAAAAAAATTCCTGCTCTTGAGCAAGATGTACCATCAGCAAGACTCAAGAAACAACCATTCTCTGGGCTTCATGATATGTAGATGGGAAGCTGGAAGAGGCCAAACAGAAACCTGAGCTTACTACAAACAAGGCTTCAGTATTGTTTCAGGGCATGAACTTTCATGACTGGAGGTCTAAGCCCGCCTCTAGATACTTGGAGTAAAAAGCCACCTAGTAAATCACTGATGGGGAGCAGCCAAGTATTTTCTGCTTTGAGTGGGAAACGGTAGGAAACTGAGGGCTAACCCTAATGGGGTTTGAGTCATGTGACAAAGGGGAGCAGATGAGACGAACATCTGGGCAAAGGCTGTACATGAGGGCTCAGTTGTCACAATGAGACTCTTTAAGGAAAGGAGGAGTTCTTTAGTGGCACCCAGCTCAGAGTGTAAAGAGTGGAGCTCAGGAATCGATCCAAGATTTGGCACTGTTTTAACCTTGAGCAGCTATGATCTTTCTCTAGACCTTAAGTTGCTTGTCCAAAAAAAAAAAAGTAGTGAGAGCATGGTCACTGGGGCACTGGACTCGCATATTGCTGATTGTAGTTTGAGTCCTGGACCTGGCAGCTTGTTTTCTCATTTTCCTCTTTCTCTGGTCAAAATTTTAAAAATAATAAATAAGACAATTATTAAAAAAACAAAACAAAAAAAAAAACTGTGGGCCAGCCTGTGTCTTGGTGGTTAAGGTGGCTGGGTCCAACGTGGCTGACTGCGAGAGTTCACGTCTCGACCCAATGACCTGAAAAACACGCTTGTTTATATGTGTGCCCCAAATCCCAGCAGCAGGGGGGAGAAATGGAGAAGGGATTGTGGCGTGACTACTTCCCATGGAGGGGTGCTTTCTCACATTCCCTCTATTTTTCTTTCTCTTGCCAGTACACAGGTCCTCTGACCAAAAAACCAAAACCAAAGCCATTTTGTTAAGTTTCTTGCAATAACCTTTCGGGGAACAAAACAAAACTTACAGCTTACACCAGAATATATAAAATGGACTACACATGAATTAGCAATAATAACTGAGCACTGGGGCCAGGTACGGCTAAACCCACATGGGAAAGGTCCTGGGCTTATGTCCAGGGACCACCTTGAGCATGCTAGGCAAGTGCCTTGGCATGATCAGGCAGGCTCCAGACTGGCGATTGGTCATGTGAAGACTCTTGGGGTGACTGTCTCCCTATCCTGAAAGAAATAAACTTAATAATACTAAACACTGCTTTAACTTTGCCTTTTCTATTAAATATATTAGAAATGTTCCATATCCGCATTTATGATGTTACTTACATGCTGATATGTACATAATACAGCTTTTTATTTTTTCAGTGTAAGGAAAAGGTAGTTTATTCAGTAAAAGTGAAAGTACACTCCTGGTAGGTGGGAACAGGCCTCAGCAGTTAGAGAAAGAGTAGATCAAAAGGCTATTTGTTAATTATTTTTAACAAAATGCCAAACATTCCATTGTATGATGACATGTGTGCCATAATGGCAAACATATATAACATATTTATAAAAAACATATATATATATATATATATATATATATATATATATATATATATATAAGTTAGAATAATTCTCACTACCCCCCTACTCTGTCCTTCTCTGGTCAAATTTAAATAAATAAATAAATGAAGTTAAAATAATTATTTTAAAAAATAAGTAAATAAATCAAGTTAAATTTTTAAAAAGTTCTGGGACCAGAATCAGCATACGGCATAATGGTCACAGCGCCGGACTCCCACATAGTCAACCATGGTTTGAGTCCCAGATCCAGTGGCTTAAAATTCATACTGGGCATGTATGTGTGCATGCCCAAGATCCCGAGGGAAGAATGGAGGATAAGGGATTGTGGCGTGGCGTGGCCATCCTCCCTGGGGGATGATTTCTTGCTTTCTGTCTCTGTCTCTGTCTGGAAAGCACATAGCAAAAATCTCTTCTCAAAAAAAAAAAATCTTAAAAATGAAAAGATGATAAAGTCAACAAAAGTAATAAAAACTATCATTTAAAAATTATTTAATTCAATTTGTTAATTTTATATTTGACCAGAAAGAGATAAGAGAGAGAAAGGGAAAGGGAGAAAGCAAGCCGCCTGTTTTGGGACTTGAACTGCAGTCAGCCATGTGGGAGTTCAGTGCTTTTAGCCACCATGCCAACTGCCAGCCCCAATAAAAATCATCATTAAAAAAAAAAATTCAACAAGAGGGGTTAAAAACCATCATTTAAAAAAAAATTCAACAAGAGGGGCTGGCAGGCGATACAGTGGTTAAAGTGCTGGACTCCCACATGGGCGACTACAGTTTGTCTTGGACTTGGTGGCTTCCTTTCTCACTTTCCTTTTCTCTTTGTCGTCAAAATAATAATAATAATAAAATTAATCAAATAAAATAAAACAATTCTTTACCAAAAAATTCAGCAATATGGGACCAACAGATGGTGTAATGGTTTCTGGTTTGCTTCCCAGAGGTTTTTGCTATAATTTGTACGCTAGCCCGGTGTGAGGTTTAAGTCACCGGGTCTGGGACTCGAACCGCGTTTGTCTACGTGGGAGTCCAGCGATGTAACCATTACACCATGTGCTGGTCCCCAGAGGAGGAGTACGAAGGAGAAGGGATTGCGGTGTGGCCATACCCCCTGGGGGTTGATTTCTCGATTTCTGTCTCTGACTCTAGCGAGCGCCTGCGCCTATAGCAAAAATCTCTAAAAATGCCAAAAAATCTAACAGACGGGGGGCCAGCAGATGGCATGGGGGTTAAGGTGCTGGGCTCCCCCTTGGGTGACCACGGACCCCATAGCTTGAAAATCACTCCCTCTGTATGTGTGTGAGTGTGGGTGTGGGTCTCGCATGCGTGTGCGCGCGCATGTCTGTGTGGCGCGCATGCGCGACCACCCAAACTCTCAGAATGAAGAAGGGGTTGGGGCGTGGCTATCCCACCAGGGGGAGTAACTTCTATCTCACTCTCTCCATCCAGTGCCCTATGGCAAAAACTTTAAAAAAAGAAAAGAAAAACCCAATAGGATAAAGAGCTAGTGACAGCAAAGGGAGAATGAATTCGGAGTGGTCAGGAGAGATCTAGACAAATGAACTAAGACCCAAGTGCCAATACGGCCACAGCCACACAAATGATCGGAGCCTGGCTGTCCAAGCAAAGCGAAAGTCAAGTGCAGAGATCCCGAGGGGACGAACTTGGCTAGTCGCACAAAGTTAGGGATGCCAGGGTGGCTGGAGGGCGCAGGAAGGGCAGAGCTTAAGTCCCGGTGGGTTGACAGGGACTCTGAAGCCGGGCTTGGAAGGCAGCAATGAGCAGTTCAGTCTTCCTATTGACACTGGGGAGAACCCGAGGGTTTGAAACGGGAGTGACGGGATCCAGATAAACAAGTGGAACAGTGAAGTCACCTACCCGCAGGGTGACCACGGGCAAGTTCCTGGGTCTCGCTCCCGTTCTTTCACCCTCAGTGAAATGGGCTATCTCCACTTTAACGGGCTGCCAAGGCGCCACACGCAAGGCTTCGGGGCCCGGGCCGGGAGTTTACCTGTCCTCCAGCACCGACTCCAAGGGCTCCACTCTATCGGTGTCCACTGCGCGGAGCCGGTCAGCAAAGGCAATGGCTTTTTCCAGCCGTGTCACCGCCTCGCGGTTGCCGAAATCCACAAGCGCATGACGCTCCAGGTGCTGAAGCATCTCCGCTGTGATCCGGCCACTTCCCTGGGGAATGAGGCAGGGAGTAGGGGGTCACGCGCGGGGCCTCCTCTGCCACCCAACCTGTCCCGCCACCGGCTTGTCCATGGCCTTTACCGGAGGATGTGCCTTGGAGCTGAAGCCCCGGTACCTGCCGCCTGGAGCCCTAAGGCAAAGCCATACGGTACGCCCCCACATCTTTCCCTTTCTCGGCTCCCGTAGTGCGCAGAGCGTCACGCCGAGCGACGCACTTGAGAATGACGACATCGGAGTGCGCCCCCTGCCGTCGTCCCCGTCGTAGCCGTCGCCATGAACAGCGTCGGGGAGGCTTGCACAGACATGAAGCGCGAGTACGATCAGTGCTTCAATCGCTGGTTTGCCGAAAAGTTCCTCAAAGGGGACGGCTCCGGGGACCCGTGCACCGACCTCTTCAAGCGCTACCAGCAGTGTGTCCAGGTGAGCCGCGCCACCGGAGCCCTCTTACCTCCACCCCTGGGTTCCGCATTCTCTGCGGTGTCCCCTGCCACACGCCTCTCATCCTGCCGGAGTTTGGACGGACAGATGGAGAAAAGCTGCTGTGAGGCCAGTGGCAGGAGCCATCTCCCCAACTCCACCACCGAGGCCGCTTGGGTGTCTCTCCGAACCAAGCGAAATACCTTTGTAATACTTTCCTTTTCACGGAGCGCAGAAACATCCATCGGCTCTTTTGGTGCCCACCCTAAACTTGCAGAGTGGTCGTACTAATACCCAGAAACAGGAAGAGATTGGCCCAAGCTCACTAGAATCCTTGGTTGTTTTCCAGTTGGTGCACTTTGCCACCATTACAGCAAGGGGCTGGGCAGCGTGTTGGCCCTTCTTCGACCTGTTACATACTGCCGAGAGCCCCATTGTTTTTGTTGTTATAACCCCTGCATCGGCCTCGCTCGCTCTCCACCAATCCCCAACTGCAGCTAGTTTTCATTCCGGCCTATTGACGTGGAACTGTAACAGCGCTGGGCAAAACATTTGAAATAAGTTAACCCAGAAGTCTCCATTATAAGTCCAGGAGGTAGTTGCCATCTTTTTCCCACTGCTGATGAGGAGAGGGAGACTTGCTCAGTGTCATGTAGCCAGTTAAGTCTTTAAACTCATGTTTGTCACTAAAATAAAATGGTGACACTGTGTTTCAAATATCACTTCTGAAGACTGACATTTCCCTCATATTTCTTTCAGTCTCTGGTTTTACTCTTGATTTCTTCACAATGGTATTTCAGTTTGAATCATGATCGTTAGTCTCTCTAGTCTACTCTAATTTTGCTTTGACACCATTGTGTTTTATTTGCAGTTTGGTCAAGCTTCATATAGACCTCTGTAATGTGTTTTTTCTCCCTATCAGAAAGCAATAAAGGAGAAAGAGATTCCTATTGAAGGACTGGAGTTCATGGGCCATGGCAAAGAAAAGCCCGAAAACTCTTCTTGACTTTGACAATCACCTTGAAAATGGATTCCTCAAATCAGGAAATTGAGGTCTCTGGATCTTGTCATCTGGGCTGTGAAGAGAGCCCTCGGATTTAATGAATTAGGAGGGAGTTTCATTTCCTCCCTGATGCTTTCTTCTCACTGGTAAAAGACGATGAACCATCACTCTGAGATGATTTCTTACTTGCTCTGGCATCTTGCAGGAACTCCATCAGTATGAGCTAATACTGAACAATTTCTTGGGATTATGGTTGCAATACTTGGTCTGGGATCTGCTTTAAATATGCCTAGTATGTCAATAATGATAAACTAGTCAGGATGATCAGAGTTGCCTGACCTCTTGATTTGTGCTGCAAAGGACAATATATACACCATACTGGGATCGCCATTCACGAAAGCAGTTGGTTAGGACGTCTTTTTATTCCCGCTCAGGGAGCAAAAGCTCTGAAAAGGGATCCATCCAGGCACAACGGTTTCAATCAATGCTTGGGAGCACAGTTTTATTTTTATATAGTACCTAACAGTTAAGGTTGCTGGTGGCCTGGGTTAACAAAGAGGAAGACAACTTTTAACAGTTCCCTGCCTTAATGAAGTTGTCAGATTGAAGACATGAAAGCTTCAGGAATGGCACAGTAAACACCATTTCAGAGCTCACAGGAGTTTAGGAATTAGGATATAGGGAGTAGCTGTGAAGGAAGAACCTAAATTGCAAAGATATGCTATTGCCAGCTTTTAACCCAAGTCAATGAATTAAGTCAACCTGCATATCATGAAAGTGCCAAAATGCTGCACCTGATTAAACGGGAGGAAAAGGTGTTTGCTTTATTTGCCTTGCTTGCCCACCTTGCTCAAATGTCTGTAATCATGAAGATGGAATAAACTGTTAACATTTAATTTCTGTCATTTGCCCCTGGAACTCAGTGCACTTTATGGAATAACTGTTAACCTAGGGCCCTACGTATCTCATATGCACACTAGGAAGAGTTTTAATTTAATGTCTACAGTAGGCTACACAAGTACCTCCTTAAAGGCTAGCTCATGGCCTAGTATCAATAGCTAAGGTGGGTAGATCCCACATGGCCAACCACATGGTTCAAGTCCTAAACCTGGTGACTTGAGATACATGTGGGGTATGTGTGCATGTGTTCCCAAAATCCCAACAGGAGGAAGGAATGGAGAAGGGATTGCAGAATGATTATGCTCCATAAGGGGACGCTTTTTCACGTTCCCTTTCTGTCTCCAGTGATCACACATGCCCTCTGGCAAATTAAAAATAAATTTATTCTAATTTAAAAATAATTTATACTATAGTACTAAAAAAAGTCAGCATTAGGTGAACACTTAAATAGAATGTTATGCAATCCTCATAATAGCATATCTTAAGAGAAGTATTTTAATTTACTATATGCCCAAAGATGGTATGAAACTTGATTTCCAGAAGGCTTAAATTCTATTATCTATTCTCTACTTTACCAATTACTACTTCATATTTAATGTGACTTTAAATGTCAATCCCTTAATGTCATTTCAAACATTCTACACTTACATTTTCTGACTAGTGAAGATCCGTGATCCAAGTACTACAAAACGAACATTAGCTGGAGGCCAGGCAGCAAGCTGAAGTTAGGTAAATTTACACCAAACTCCACCTGACAACAACCAAAACAGCTCTCCAGAGGCTCAGAAGTGTGGGCTGTGAAAGAGCAGATTCCGTCTTTTCTCATTGTTTATGGCTTTCACATCAGTTTCCATAAGCCTCACCTTTGCGTTACCAGTTTAATGCTATACACTACAGAACACCTCATAGCCTCTTGACCCTTACCATAAAGCCGTCCCGTGATGCACTGAGAAAAAACTGGCTGCAAGTAAACTATGTTAACTGTAATTCCTGTCGAGGAGTCTGCTGATGTGAAAAAGTTACACAGAGGACATGTATCTGACTATTCTTCCTAGACTAAGGTGCTTTCCAGGAGGCCTGGGAGAGTCATGCCTACAAACATGACTCTTTCTGTAAAAGACTGCCTGCCTTAGCGATCGTGGGCAGCTCCTTGCATCCTGACCTTAGCAGGGATCACCAGCTAGCGAGGCCTTATTATCTACATTCAGGTTAAATTCAGACATTCTTTTTTTAAAAGATAGTTTTTATTCTTTATTATTTTTTAAGTTTGCTATAGGGCACGTGTGCTCACCACAGGGGGTGGGGAGGGTGAAAAAACAAGCTACCGATTCAGGACTCGAACTGCAGATGGCCATATAGGAGTCTAGTGCCTTAACTATCTCCACCTACTGGCCCCACAGTTGAAGTCCTAGACCTGGCAGCTCAAAAATCATGTCGGTGCATGTGTACATGGCTAAAATCCCTAGAGGAGAATGGACAAGGGACTGCGGCATGGCCATCTCCCCCTAGGAGGTGATTTCTCACTTTCCTTCTCTCTGCCACTGTCTCTCTCTGCCAAGTGCATGCATCTTATGGCAAAAATCCTAAAAGGAAAAAAATTTTCAGATTAATTTCACATTTTATGTAAAGTGTCCATCAGGATATATATACTTTTAAGAGTAATTTTTGTTAGAGGGCATATATGCTTGCCAGAGAAAGTGAGAAGTCACCCCCTGGGGAGATGGCCACCCCACAATCCCTTCTCCTCTCGGGATTTTGCACATGCATGCCATACACCCAGTGTGAGTTTTAAGCCACTGGGTCTAGGACTTGAACCATGGTCAACTATGTGGGAGTCCAGTGATGTAACCATTATGCCATCCATTGATCCCTAACCTAAGCATTTCTAAACCAGGGTCTGACAGCTGGTGGTGGTTAAGGTACTGGATTCCCACATGTCAGACTGCAATTAAGAGTCCCAGACCTGGTAGCTTACTTTCTCAACTTTCTCTCTTTTTGGTTAACGTAATAATAAAGCTCTTTTCAGCTGGTGCAGAGTGATGTGTATTTCTCAGGACAACTGGCACAAGTGCCACATGACTGAGGGCAAGAGAAAGCCCTACCACAAGAAGTGGAAGTATGAGCTGGGACACTAGGATCACCCCCCACCCCCGCTGCATATACATAGTCTGTGTGCTGGGAGGTAACAATACTGTGCCCTGAGGCTGGACATGGGCAACTTTTCTTGGGGCTCAGAGTGTTGTACATGCAAAACAAGGACCATCGATGTTGTCTACAAACGCAGCCAATAATGAGCTAGTCTGCACCAAAGCAATGAAGAACTGCATCGTGTTCATTAACAGCACACCGTACAACAGTGGTACGAGTCCCACTATGCACTGCCCCTGGGCTGCAAGGCGGCGGCCAAGCTGACTCCTGAGGAGGAAGAGATTTTAAACAAAAAACAGTCAAAGAAATTCAGTAGAAATACAATGAAAGGAAAAAGAATGCCAAAATCAGCCGTCTCCTGAAGGAGCAGTTCCAGCAGGGCAAGCTGCTTGCGTGAACTGCATCCAGACCAGGCCAGTGTGGCTGTGCAGCTGGCTATGTGCTGGAGGGCAAGGAGCTGTTCTACCTGAGGAAAATCGAAGCCCAGAAAGGCAAATAAACCTTCCTGTCTTTGCTCTGTAATAAAGCTGTTTAGGGGGCCAGCAGATGGTGTGGTGGTCAAGGTGCTGGATACTCCCACATGGCTGACCACAGTTTGAGTCCCAGACCTGGTGGCTGGCTTTGTCACTTTTCCTTTCTCTTTGTCTCTCTCTGGTCAAATTAAAAAATAAGTGAATGGATAAATTAAATTTTAAAAAGTATATTTTTAAAAAATGTGTTTATTGTTCAAAATAATAACAATAATAATAAAGAAAATGATCTCTTAAAATTTTGGGGCCAGCAGGTGGCATGGTGGTTAAGGGTGCTCGACTCCCATATGACCAATCGAGGTTTGAGTCCCAGACCGGGCAGCTTGCTTTCTCACTTTCTCTCACTGTCCCTCTTTGGTCAAATTAAAATAAAGTTAAATAAATTAATTCTTAAAAAGAAATTTCTAAATAAACTCACCTATAACCTACCAGTTCCTGCTTCCAGAAGACCCATATTTTGGGGCCAGGCCAATGAAGAGACTCCTTATGATGACTCTTTATGATGATTCTGTCTGTCTGCTGCCCTCAGAACTGAATAAAAGAACTGCTACATCTAAGCACCCCAGAGAGCACTTTCCTGTTTTTCTGGGCTTGGTTGCTTAAAATCATGCTAGAATAAACCATGTTAATTACTGCTTCTACAGAGCTTAGTTATTTCCATTGTTAATATGCTAGATCAGAAATTCACTTCTGAACCTGACTTTTGGAAAATATCTTGAACAAGCCTCTTCTGCTTCAATTGAGGGAGTAAGAAAATTGAGGGAGTAAGAAGTACAGTCTAATTAATTAGTTGCCAGAAGAGATTTAAGTATAACTCAAGTTCAAGTGTCAGGTGCCTAACCCTATTCACATTACTGGTCAATCTGAAAGACCAGATAATAGTAGCTACCTGCTTGATGGCCACATTCTGTCAAAAGTAATAGCATCTGAAATTGCTCCAGAGAGAATAATTCTGATGTTCCTTGCTCTATTTTGACTTCTGTCCTCTCTATATATTAACTTTGGGACCAGCAAGTGGTGTGGTGGTAGAGGTGCTAGATTCCAATATGGCCAAATGCAGTTCAAGTCCTAGTCTTGGTGGCTTGGAAATCACAACAAATAAATAGATTATAAAGTATTTAAAAAGAATGAGAGATGCTTTAACTAAATATACATGGGGGCCAGCAGGTGGCATAATGGTTAAGGTGATGGACTCCCACAGGGTCAACTCATTCAAGTCTCACTCCCAGTGGCTTGAAAGTCACACCAGGCAGATGTGCATGCCCCGAATCCTGAGAATGGATTGCAGTATGGTCATATGCAAGGTGACTTCTTGCTTCCTGTCTGTCTTTCTGGTGAGCACATGTGCCATATAGCAAAAAATTATCAAAAAATTAAAGTGACTTAACCTACCTAAGCTACTTCACAGTCCTTGAATTCATGTGAGGAATTAGCTGCCCCTTGAGGGTGATTTGCAACTATACTACTACTACTACTGGGTATCCCTTCTGATTCTTGACCGAGGAAAATTTTAATTCCAAAAACAAAACCAATCCTCTAAGCAGAAATGTATCATGTTGCCTTTATTTCTCCAAAGGTTTCTGGCTCTGCTAGCCTTCAGGGTGCTGAGATGAGCGTTATCATAAAGAATGAACCCTTTGGAGAAAATGATCCACTGCAGGGAATATTCTTCAGCAAATGGGACAAGAGGAAGCTGAGACCCGGAGGCCTCTTAAGAATCACAGGTACCTCTTCTGTTGGCCATTCAATGTCTTTGCCTTCCAAACTCCGGCAAGGACCCAGTCTGGATACTTAATTGGCTCCATTGCTCTGTGTTTTAGGTCCCTCAGCCTCACCTACCCCAGGCACAGATAACCCCAGGTCCTGTTATAAGCATTTTTAAGCAGTGAGCTGAATTGGACTTAAAATACCATGAACAGCAGCTATAGATCTTCACTGCAGAAACAGAAATAACATGAATGCTAATTTCTGAGAGAAAACACAACCAAAGAATTCAAGTCTCAGCTCATGACCAAGCTAAGTTTATGTTATTTATTTAAGCCATCTCTTGCTGCAAGCAAAGGATGGGAGATCAGCATACTTGTCATCATTTGCTACAAGTGAAGAAGGTGAGCTTAAGGTCCCGTACTCTTTTCTGGTCCACGTGCAGAGTAATGGTCCAAACCAGTGTTGTGGTCCCCAGTGCCTGGGTAGTGGTCCATGTTCTCTTTATTCATCTTCATAGCCAGTCGGAAGCGGATTCACATGAGGGTTATGGAATAGAGTATGGTTACCATCTCCCCAGGGGAAGGGCTGTAGAGCGAAGATGCCAATTAATAATTCCAGAAAATAATTCACAAAGAGCACTGCCATGAACTGTTTAAAACTGAGTGATACATAATACGTAAAAACAAATGGAAATTAGTGTTTTGACTACTGGTGTTGTTCAACCTTCCCATAACTTAAGGGTGCTGCTATAACTCTGGGGGAGGTCCCTTTTAAAAGTATTTCTAAATAGTAGGAAAAGCAAGCTAAAGTTACTCAAGCTTCTCCCTGACACCCAGTAATCCAGTGTTTATGGAAGTCACTTCAAATCACCTGTATCAGGACTATAGGGGTGTGTGTGTGTGTGTGTGGGAGAGGCCCATTTAAATGCAGATTTCTGGACTCCAACCCAGATTTGAAATAATCTCTGGATTAGAAAACTGCAATCCACCCTCAATTATGTTGCCCAAAACCTTTGAAAAGCACTGCTTGATGGCAACAGTTTACAACCCAGGGGATGTTGCCTTTCAAGACACAATGGTTAGGCCAGAAGGTGGCATGGTGGTTGAGGAGCTGGACTCCCACATGGTTGACTGTGGTTTGAGTCCCGGATCTGGCGGCTCCCTTTCTCATTCGCTCTTTCTCTGGTCAAATGAAAAAAATGATGAATAGAAAGAAAAAGATGAATAAAATTAAATAAATCTTTTTTTTTTTTAAAGGAACACAATGTTTAGTAGCTGGAGACTGTGTGCGCGCATGCGTGTGCACACATGTATACTAGTGCCATCTAGTGGGTAGAAGCCAAGGATGCTAAACATCTCATGTGTGAGAATTATCCAGCCCAAGTCGTTAATAGCGCCAAGGTTTAGAAACCTTATTGTATGGCTCCATTCTACTGTATCAAGATGAGAGTAGGGCTCAGACATACTAGTTCTACATAGGCTGGCTGGGTGATATAACAGTTATTAAAGAACTCAGAAGAGGCCCTTGTTTAAAATACAGCAAGCAATGGAAACCATGTGATTGTAACTATATCTACATCAATAGCCAGAAGATGGGTGGCGGGGAGACAGCAGGTAGTGTAGTGGTTAAGGCACCTGACTCCCACATGGCTGATTGCAGTTTGAATCCCAGACCTGGCGGCTTGTTTTCTCATTTTCCCTTTCTCTCTCTCTCTCTGGTTTAATTTTAAAATGACAATAACATAATTAAATAAAAATAACTATTTTAAAAAATAGCTAAAGGATCAACTAATTGAAAAGATAAGGTATTTGTGGGGGACAGAGTAAGCTGTCAGTCTTCATTATGCAGCTAGTACCTGCCAGATGCCAGGGTCTTAGATCCGTAAACCACCTTCAGACTGCCACTTTAAGAGGGCTTCTCAAGCCTCCAAGTTTTACACAATGGACAATGTTTCAGAATTTATCAAAAGGCAAGAGTGGTGGTGAATCAGAGAAAATAAAAACTGAAGGGCACTTGTATGACCTTGGAGAAAAATACTGAGCTGTGACCCCTCCCAAGTCTCAGTTTTCCTGATTTAAAAATAAAATACACGTTCTGTTTCTGAGGATTAAACGAGAAACTCCGCGCCTGGCTGCCCCGCTCTTAGAGAATCCAGAACTTGCACTGGGGCATACTCGGGAAAGAGGACTGACGCTTGAAGGGGCTGCAAGGGCGTACCTTGGACCTGATGCGGAGATGGGGGTAGGCGATGAACTCGGGTCTCTCGTGCTCCTCGTGGTGCGACTTCAGGAAGACGTTCAGCATGCTCACTCCCACCCCCGGGAGCGCGACGAAGTAAGTGAGGGCCTTCCACATGCGAGCTGCGGAGAGGCAGCCCAGCTCAGCCCTGCTGCAGAGCCTGCCCGGATCTCACTCCCCTTCCCCCCAGGCCTCAAGCCAAGGTCACGGTTCTGCCCCACCTCGCCCAAGTGTGGCTGAGAACCGCCCTGCCGAACCCAGCCCCAGTACCTGAGCCCTCCTCGCCATGAGCGCCACTCGACATAGGCCGCCCCAGCTGTGGGCAGGACCGGCTTAGCAGCCGAGACACCTGGAGCACAGCTGCCGCCGCCATGTTTGATAGACCGCGTCGGCGCCGGAAGCGGAAGTAATCAATGGGCCCCGAAGGCGGGACCATAACTTCAAACGGAAGTTCCTATTGGGAGACACCTTCTCGTTTTAACCTGCCCGCTGTCATCCGGGACCACCGAGTCCTTGGGAAAATCCTGGGAGGCAACGAGCATGCGCGTCCTTTCCCCGTTGAGCTTTTTCCTCGCGCGCATGCGTGTGCCCCATAGTAACCACCTTGGTTTTGCGTAAGCGCCGAAGAAGGGAGTTTGGGTGGTCCCTTGGGCATCTAGGATTTCTCCCTTCCTAGCAGTCTGTGAACAGCATCTGGAAGTTCCGAGCGCCAGCCAGCCTATCTAAAATGCTGTTCCCCTGCCTTGCCATACTCTTAATTTTCTTTTTTTTGGTAATCATGATACCTGACATAATTTTTCATGGCACTTGACATTATCATTGTAGTCACTGTTATTTTGCTTGGCTCCCCCAGCAGAATATAAATTCTGTGATGGCAAGAGTTTACCACTGCAGCATTCTTAGAGCAATTTGGAAGGATGTAATCTGGAATTGTGCCTGGCAGGTAGCAGGTGCTTACTACAAATTTGCTGAATGTATGCATGCATGCTTGCATGAATGAATGAGTAGCAACTAGAAACGGAAAGAGTCTTGGAATTGGTGCCAGAAAAATCTGGATTCTAATGCCAGATCAACATCTACAGCTTTCACCTTCTAGTCATCCTGGCTTTCCCTTCAAATTCTGAAAACAAAAATTGGCTTCTGCTAAATTTTGTCTGTGTAATTCTTCCCTTGCCTCTTTCCTTTTCCTTTCCTGTATTTGTCTAAAGATAGTTTTAAATATAAAAGCTAGGGAACAGCAGATGGCGTCGTTGTAGTCCCACGTAGTCAACCATGGTTCGAGTTCCTGACCTGGTGACTTAAAACTTACGCTGGGCATGTGTGCATGCATGCCTAAGATCCGGAGAGGAGAATGGAGGAGACGAGATTGCAATGTGGCCATCCCCACTGGGGAGTACTTTCTCGCTGTCTATCTCTCTCTGTCTCTTTCTGTCTCTCCAGCAAGTGCATGTGCCCTATAGCAAAAAATCTTTCTAAATAAATAAATAAAAGCTAAAGGGCCAATCCGTGGCCTGGTAGTTAACACGGCTGGATTCTCACATGTCCTCCTGCACAGTTGGACTCTCAGACCAGACAGCTTGAAAACCATGCTGGGTGCATCTGCCTGCATGCCCAAAATCCTGAAAGGAGGAGGAAAATGAGAAGGGATTGCAGCGTGACCATGCCCCTTTAGGGGAGGTACTTGCTCACTTTCCCTCTCTCTCTCTCTCTCTCTCTTTCTCTGTCTCTCCCTGGTGAGAAGATGCAGAGAATTTTTGGTAACTTTTTTTTTTGGAGAGGTTTTCACTACAGGGCACGTGCGCTCGCCAGACAGATAGAGAGAGACATAGAGACAGAAAGCGAGAAATCACCCCCCAGGGAGGATGGTCACGCCGCAATCCCTTCTCCTCCATTCTCCTCTTGGGATCTTGGGCACGCACGCACACGCGCCCGGCGTGAGTTTTAAGCCACCGGGTCCGGGATGCAAACCGCGGTCGACTACGTGGGAGTCCAGCGACAGAGCCATTATGCTAACTGCTGGTTCCCGGTAATTTTTTTTTTAAGTTGAAGATAGGACTAGCCGTGATGGTGTGGGATACTGAAACACTGCTTGGCAAACTGGGACCACCTAAGAGGCCAACATAAAGGCCCAATGGAGACAAGGTGTGCACTTGCAATCCCAGTGAGTAGGGAAGCTGAGGTGGGAGGGTCTTGAACTGGAGGGTGGCCTGGCAACATACTAGTGTGAAAAGCACAGTGTGTGTGATGCATGCGTATAGCTCCCAACAGAAAGACTGAGGCAAGAGAGTCAACACGGAAAGATCCTGTCTTGAAATTAAATAAATAAAAGTTAAAAATATATACTGTACGGTCAGTCAGATGGCATGGAGGTTAGGTAGCTAGATCCCACCCGATCAACTATGTGGTTCGAGTCTCAGACCCAGTGGCTTGAAATACTCATGAACCACCTATGTTTGTGTGCCCAAAATCCTGAGAGGAGAATAGGGGAGAAGAGATTGTGGCATGGCCATCCCCCTGGGAGGTGACTTCTCACTTTCTCTCTGTCTCTCTCTGGTGAGCACATGCACCCTATAGCAAAGTTTAAAAAGAAAAAAAAATGTAATGAAATATTTGAACACTCCCCCCCCACCCAACCCCTGCAAAAAATGCACCTGCATTTGAGCACATGCAGTATAGCAATGTTGGAGGACAAAGCAACCAGCCATGAAGTACAGCCAGAGACTCCCTGACAGTCACTGTGCCTAAGATTAGAGTCCCTGCATAGGAGAACAAACAGGGCTTCTGACATGGGAAGATTCGTCCCTTTACTATGTTATTTTGGGCAAGTTGGATGACACAAATGTTTTAAGGTCATGCAGTTTCATGGAGATAGAAATTTGGGACATGTTACTAGAGCTTCACAGTCTGATCTAGCATTACATCTTTCTTGGAGTACCCTGAGTTTTTACATTTCATGGTATAATAAAAATCATCAAAAAAAATTTTTTTTCGGAGAGGCAAAAAAAATTTTTTTTTGGAGAGGTTTTTGCTATAGGGCACACAACTCACCAGAAAGACAGAAAGAGACAGAGATAGAAAGCGAGAAATCACCTCCCAGGTGGATGGCCATGCTGCAATCCCTTCTCCTCCATTCTCCTCTCGGGATCTTGGGCACACAGGCACATGTGCCCGGCATGAGTTTAAGCCACCGGGTCCGGGATATGAAGTGCCGTCGACTATATGGGAGTCCAGTGACATAGTCACTGTGCCAACTGCCGTTCCCCAGAGATGTTCTTAGCTCTCTTTCAGTTTAAATCCTGACCCCGGCCTTCGTTTTGGCCTGAACCGCCATCTTTCAGTAATTAACCAAAATAACGAACAAAAAGGCAAAGAGGAGAGGCCCCCTGATATATGTTCTCTAGGCCTTTTAGAAAACATGGAGGCGGGAACCAGCAGTTAGCGTAATGGCTATGTCGCTGGACTCCCACGTAGTCTACCCC